TAGTGCAATAATATTCATTGACCTTTATTTAATCAGGAAATTCCCACTGAGATTTCAAAATCTCTTTCAGGAGAGTCCAGTCCAGAGAGAGCAGAGCTATTTCATATGTTTTACAATTCTTTTATCATTTTAAACTTATATAATCAATCTGCCTTTTAAACAGCTGATAGGGGCACGGTCAGTTTCGGCAGAAGCAGATTATGGTCTGATTTGTATTTGTATTTTGTATCTTAAGTCTGTTTTTATGGATCCTTATTGGTTCTTTGTCTGCAAATTAAGTGCCTCACGGATAATTACAGTTATTTGAATAAGATGGCTTTTTTTCTCACTTTTAAAAGGTATTCTTGGTGACGGATCATATGTTGAGTTGTTGTTAGTTCCATCTACACTACGTTTTAAAAGGAGAAAAAAGAAAAAAGTATCTGAAATTGGACATGTTTGCAGTATTGACTATTTACAGATAAATGACATGTACAGGCTCAGCAGTTCTCATTGTACAGTCTGACAGCAGCAGGAATGAAAAACCTATGGAACCTATTGTTCACTCATATGAATAAGTCTGTCACTGAAGCTTCTCTCCAGAGCAGTGTCCAGCAGGGGGTGCCAGTCATGGTCCAGACTTAGTCCAGTTAAAGTAATCCTACCCCTAATCCTAACCCAAACCATAAAGTGTAAACGCAGGGCAAATGGAACTCATAGTCGCTCGTCCTCATTCAGAAGAGCGTTTCAAAGGGGCCCTCTCCCCCAGAACAGGAGCCATGTGGAGTCCCCTCTTCATAAAATGCAAAACAGACTTCCATTTTCCACTGTTCAGGCAGTTAACACGTCTGCTGCGCTCGTACAACCCACAATCACAACATAGTTTGGTCAATGTTACAACAAATGAACCAGTGGAGTCCTTGGACCCTTTTTTCTTTTGCAATCCCTTTCTTTTGGACTTCAAACATTAGGACAAGTTCTGGCTCCACTTTAGATCAAATAAAAGGATACCAACTGACAGAATTAATGACCAAACCAATGCTTTGTCTTGATCAGTGCAAATATCCAATACCAACATCCATCTGTCTGTATAAATCAACTATACAAATGAGCCCATCTGTGCAAGGGGTGTGCTAAAAAAACACTTATTTTTATTCGATACCATATATTATATTCAGATTTGTTTTCAGTGAAATAAAAAAATACATATTTTCAATATTTGAACTTGTAATGAAGCTTAAGCGGAAAATCAGAATGGAAGACAGGAGAACTAAGCTCACAGATGTAATCTTGACCTCAGTGTCATTAGTGTAATTTATATAGTTTCAGATTACTACCATACATTTCTAATACTCATGTTTTTGTTTGTTCGAGTCCCTCCAAAAGTAATAGAAATTAGTCTTCAATGGCCTTACTTTTACAATAAGTCACTTTAATGAACAGCAATAGGACTGAACCACTTTTCACACAACCTGTGTGATACTGTTTATGCCAAATGTACATTTCTCCATTGCGAGATCAATGGAGAAATATCTTATCTCATACTGATATATATAATAGTATCAAACAGGAAGTCCCCTGAGTGTTTAGAGAGATGTCAGCTTGAGGTTAGTGATGGCTGGTATTTAAAAATGTTTTTGTATCAGCCCCGATATAACGACTGACCTTTATACCCTTTGAATATTTTCCCCTCAGTTCAAATAAGAATGTGAATGTTCCTTTCTAACGGAATATACACATCTAATACTGTGCATTTAAGTGTTCTGTACTTTTTGTTGCCAAATTGTATACATTTGTGAAAACCCAATAAACAGAATGATATTTGAAAAAAGAAATATTTTGACATTCATTACTTGTTTCCTGCTCATTTCAAAACTTTCAAAATTGTCCCAACACAAGATGACTTTTTTAAGTTGAGACGATTTATATGCTGCACCAGCCATAAAATATAATCCTGCAACATACATTTGTTGGAATAAAGTATAGAATTTGTTTCAATTTTTTCGTTTTTTTTTAAAATCAGAAATTCAGATTTCGCAAATATATATTTGTAGCAATTCATTTTTTTACAATCCTAAACCACAAAATGAGTCGTCTCGGAGGACTTTACAGAGTTGTGGATTCACCAACACAGATCAGAGAATCAAACTCAGGAAATACAATAGCACCAATTTAAACACATAGGATGGGTCCCATTGGTCCATAAGCGGCGGATGACCAATGTCCATAAATGTCATGCCGCTGCCGAGACAGAATTGGTGCGCTCCTTCTCCAGCTCCAACCGTGTGTTATTCCCACATTCCTGGAGAGCGAGCACATTCTTTGGACAAGCAGCAGGATACAAACTTTGACTCACAACAGCCAAGAAGTGACAGCATGAAGACGGGAAATACAAGTCGCTGAGGGAGGAGAAGAGGAGGGGGACCACATCACTGAACACATGTAAGACATTGACAAAGTCCCAGTCCAAATGATTACCACATGTGCACAGGCTGGACCCCTCCCACAAACCCACCCTTTCCAAACCACATCCACCTCGCTTTGGTACAATAGATCTCAGCGTTTTCTTTGCACACGTAGACTATGCATTCACACCATTGATGAGTTTGCTTAAAGCTCTCGGCATGAAATAGTAAAAGGTATAAAAGCATGAAAAGACCTTTATACAATTCTAAAAGTATAAAAACACAAACAATAGACATTTGACTGGACTCTCTCGCTCTCTGGTCTCTCACTCTGGTCTCTCTCACACTCCGGTAACTCTGGTGTCTCTCTCTGGTCTCTCTCTCTCTCTCTCTCTCTCTCTCTCTCGCTCTCTCTCTCTCGCTCTCTCTCTGGTCTCGCTCTCTCTCTGGTCTCGCTCTCTCTCTGGTCTCGCTCTCTCTCTGGTCACACATATTTCTAAAAATAAACAAATTCTGTATTGTCATAGTTTGAATTATAACAGTTTTTGTTCATGTGATAAAGTTGTTTAATAGTCAACATGTAATTGCATCTTGTACGTTCTGGACAATGTCTGCAGTTTAATATAAGAATAATAATATGCTAGTAGTTGTAAGACATGAAATGGGAGTGGGGTGGAGATTTATGGGCTAAAAACAGAACAGAAATCACTAGAGCTCTACTTTATGTGACAAGACACGTTTTAAATGGAGTGTTTTTTATTAATCAGGGGATAAAGCTAGTGTTACTGAAACACACAGGATACACTAAATACAACTTTAGGTCTGTTTTAAGATAACCGATTGTACGATCATCTCTTAAAAAACCAAAAAAACATTGATGATTGGAAAAATGAGATGCACATTTTGTCATGAAAAAACAAAAAACAATAATGTGTGTACTATAATTCCAGCTTAAAACAATGTCACATTTTTTCCTGTTTTCTTCAGAAAGTATAGACACTTTTTCAAAGTTTAATCTAGTTTCCATACTATAGTTTTAAAAATCAATTAACATGTTCTATATGTTTGACTACCATGAATGAAAAATGTAGATCATAAGTTGAAAAATTACACATTTTATTTTGACAAATACGTGTCCTTCAATAGCAACACTGGGAAATATAGAGTAATTCCAAAGCTATCAGCGATTGGGTTTGGCATCATCAGCTTTAGTGTTAGCAAATGCCATTGTGTCCGGTTATCACAGTTTAATCATTACACGGCTGCTTTGCTTTTCAAACTTAAAGGAGACATAGGTTCACCCCGTTTCCCAAACACAGATTCAAAACAGCTCAATAGTAAAGACAGCTCCATTGACGTCTTGCCCCGCAGCAGATTTTCACTTTTAATGCTGAAAAAGATCTTGTGACATTTTGTAACCCAGCATTTTTATGTAAAGATTTTTACTTCTATAAAGAAATGGGCGGGGATAAGTGATGGGTGAAACAGACACGGGAGCTTTGAGCTTTACGCAAGACAATACAGGATTTCTCAAAACATGCAAGAATCAGAAGTTTGGAGTCTGGACAAAGAAACAACAGAGGAGCACTTTTATAATGACTCCCCAAACTAATTCTTACACAAAAGTCCATTAGTTGTGACATAACAACGCGTATTCATACCAAAGTGCATGTCCATATTCAACATCAACAACTTTAATCACAAACTTACAAAACAACTGCTTGTATATAACCTTCTTTCCTTCTTCATTTCACTTGAAAGACAGGCAAGTCGAAACTCTCGCAGGCATTTGGCACATGTCTGGGCAACTGCTCGTGACAGTTGGCTCCTCACTGATGACAGCACCCAAGGGCTCAGAAATCTCCCCCCGTCCACGCGCTGGGACCACAAGAACTGGGTGAAAAAGCTCGTGTTTCTACTGTAAATGACCCAATTGTTCTAAACACTTTCTGAAGATGAAAGCTCAGAAACTGTTGTGTATAATCCATCCATCCACGCGCGTTCTAATTAGTGAACAAAACATCACCCGATCTCTCCAAATTACGCACGTGTGACTGTGTGCCATAGATAAACCCATTTGGATGACTTTACGGCCAAAAATACACCACAACCACCACGAGCATTCACTACCCCAAGAATCAAAACATCAACTGTCCCATTGGCTGCTGCTACTACAGTCCAGCGCTGCAACAAAAGGCGCAGACAATGAAGAGTTTCAACAAGCGGCGCTGCCTTCTTCACAGCCTTGTTTTGCGCGTGGTTATGATGATACAAATTTAGTTTTGAAACATGTTTGTAAATCAGGAGTCCTCAAAGCTAACCAGTTACAACAACAAGAGCGTGCGTGCTGCTTTGTTGGGTCCTCCAACGGCTGCTGCTGCCTGGATGGATGTAAGAAATGGGGGAAACACTGAAGACAAGGCGCACCTACCTCTTCGTAAAGTGTCCAAGTCAACTTCGTGAATTTTTAAAGCGAGCAAAGCGCTGGGGAACACGCATTGGTGTAAGGTTGCTGCGCTGGCTTGTGTCGGGCTGAGGTTTCCAGGACAGAATTATTAAAACAGCGATACGCGCACACACACTAGTGGTCTACTCCAGACCCATAGAAAATGTAAATTATAGAGCGGGGAAGGGGTGGGACCGCGCTGACGTCATGACAGGGGCTCCACCCATGGGCGCCACGGGAGAGGGGAGTCCTGTAGGAGGAGAAGGGGGTGAGGAGAGCTGGTGACTGTCCAAGAATGACTTGAAGGAATTACGCACGACATGTTTGGGTGTTTCCAGGAATGAAAAGAGTTCCACAGCCAGATGCTTGGTGCTTCTGATGTTTGATTTGAATTTGTGACGAGTCATTCGTGGCTGTTTATTAATGTGATGTTCAGTGTGCGTCATCGAGAGTAAATTACGTAACAAAATAACTTGGTAACAATTACTAATACTAGCCTATGGTCCCCCCAAATTCTCAAGAAGAAAAACTCCAGCCATAGGCACATAAGTCAAAATGTATCTGATGCATGTGCAGTACCTGTTTCCCCTGCAGACCCTACCAGAGAGTAATGGCCCACCCACAGCTTCTCAGTGAGGTGGTAGAGCACTGGAGTATAGCACAGTATAGTAGTGGTCTCGGTTACACACATGAGTTTGTGTGTACAAAATGCAGCGATAGAGTAGTTGTGTTGTAGATCAGTGATCACACAGAGGCCCTGATCAAGATGACACGTTTACTGCTCCAGTAAAAGCAGCATACTGCAGTGCTTTGTATTCACAGTATCCAGAATTTATATGACACAGACTGTGCTAGACTTACAGCAGAAGGCCCTTCTCTGTGCTGTGACAACATGCTGCCTGTGCTAAGGTACAGTACATTATTATTGGTACATACAGTAGCAGTGAGCGTAGATTACATACATTTTGTCAATCCCATCGCTCATGAACTGTGACAAAATAGTGATGAACATAATAACTGAGGTCAAAGTGCAAAAACTCTCGTCTTTTCAAAACAAAGACACAAAAATCAGTAGAATATCACAAAAAGATGTGCAAGAAACAAAACTATTACCTGAAAAAAACCTTGACCTGACCGTGAGAGTGGCCCTGGGGTCAGCAGCAGGTCTGGTGCTCAGGTTACTGTGTGGACAGCCCAGGTCCAGGGGATCAGCCTGAGCATGCAGGACCTTCGAAAGGGACAGTCCAGTCTGTTAGGGCATATGTTGTCCCCCTCACCCCCACAGGCAGACCACCCCTCTGCTGGGGGCTTACTATCACCTTCAACTGTCTGCTCCACTTTTCTGTTTGACCAGGTTAAAGTGAGAAAATAGATTTGTGTTTAAGTCAATTTCAGATAAAATCTTAGAATCAGATATCAATAAATCTTTCTCGTGGTAACTTTTTCAAGCGGTGGCCGTCAGATACATGACATCTTGTAATAATATATAATGTAATACTAAAAATAGTACAATGTGCATCTTCCCACCTCCTTGTACATCTCTTTGAGAATTCAGCGGTCTGGTATTGTGAGGATTGGGATTCTAAAGTCGGCCTTCTTATCTCTCTGGCTTTGATTGAATGGGTTCTTGCACATCGCCTCTCGTCCTGACTGTGATAAAGAGTAATCAGCTTATACTCTGGTCCGACGGGGGGGACAGAGGATCTCCTTATGCCCATGTGTGCCCCCCTTATCCCAGGCCCTCAGCGCTGACATGGGCCTGGCTTGTTTGTGGGGGTTTGTCATAATCTTCACAAGCTAAGGACCTACTGTTGATGGTATTATAAGCAAGTCCGAATGTGGCGTAGTTTATACAAGGAAAAGTCTGCTAAATTTTGCATAACATTTCCATAACATTTTACAGCATCGTTGCATATTGATAATATACAGAAGTACTGTTGATTGATAGAGAGAGATATCAATACCATATTTTAAGAGTTTCCTTCATCCTTTAACCATATTTCAGTTGTGCTTGGAGCGATTCATGAGGCATTACTGGAACATGTGCACATTTTGCCACAATTGGAAACAGGAGTAATGGGTTGAAATGCCGTTTATGGTGGCAGTATCATGAAGAGGAAAGCACATTTCAAAGCAGATGTTTTCAAGAGGAAGTTCAAAATCCACTTTCGTCTTACCCAACTTTTTCCACATGAATGAGTAAATTGTGTTTTTACGTAAATTGTAATGTAATTTATTTATTTGGAAATATGTATTTGGAGAACGAATAGCGGGTGTGTTTGTGCTCAGAGTCCACTCCACACTTTTCCACTATTCTACTTCATCAACCGGGTTTACCCACACCTTCACTTTCCTTTTCACTGTTTGAAAACGCTTTTAAATGATTTGAAACAGACTTTAAAAATATATTCAAAAGGATTAATTGCGCAACACAAATTCTTTGTTTTTGGGCGGCACGGTGGCTGAGTGGATAGCTCTCTCGCGTCTAAGCAAAAAGGTCCTGGGTTCGAATTCCGCTCGGAACAAGGCCTTTCTGAGTGGAGTTTGCGTGTTCTCCCTGTGTCTGTTTAAGTTTCCTTTGGGTGCTCCGCTTTCCCCTACCTAAAAACATGTTCAATAGGTCTAGCATGCGCCTCCTGTACTGGCGAACCCGTTCTCTGTGTGAGGTTAGAGACAAATGGCCAAAAGTAACAATTGTAAACCGCTTTGTGACTCTGGTAAAAATATATAAATAAAGATTACTTACTTATTTACGCCACAGAACACCGACAATATGATTAAGAAAAAAATCCATAAAACAACTGTGGTAAAGCACAAACACTCTCTGACCAAACACCCACCCCCCACTACTGGCTCTATGCTGAAGTCATCGCTCTCTTTCCTCCACGTAATTCTCTTTTGTACACATTATTATTATTATTATTATTTTTTAAATGTAACCAGGTTTGAACATGTTTTTATGTAATCCGTCCATCCAAAGGGTGTCTCCTTGCTCTGAGATCCATGTTGATTTGAATGTAGTTTTATATTTAATGTAGAGCTTTTAACTCCAAACACAATGGGTTAGAAAGTTGTCCATAGTGAAAGAAATCACAACAAAATCTAAGAAAATCACAAAAAGCTAAATGAAACAGTTTTGAACCTGGATTTGAACAATGTCAGAGTAGAAGCCTAAGCCTAACTTTTTCATTAATGGCGACCTTGTTTTCTAATGCTTTCATTCATGAATTGTTATTGCATGGGGATGAAATCTTTCGGCATTTTGGTCAATTATAACACTGATAAAACTGAAAACAGATATTGATAATTACGAAATACTAAAATCTATCTTACACCAAAACGTGCATTCCTCACCCCATCTACACACCATATTTCAGCTCAAGCCGTCCTGTAATTTAGTACAATCCTGTCTGCAGAGAAACACACACACAGAGGCTGTCACATTACCCCAGGGCAGGGTAATGACAGAATTCACTCATGTTTGTCTTATGTTTATGCGCCCCCTTACTAAATGTATGTCACCTCTTCCTTGCGACTGACGCTGCGTTCGGTAAATGATCTAAAATGTGCGGCCTCCCCCATGTGCGCTCATGATTTAGGATATGACTCACATCTTAAAGGGTTAAAGCCAGGGCGTGTGAGGCTCTTTGATTGACATATTAAGCCCCTCCCTCCTCTCAGATGTAGTCCCGCCCCAGTCCCAAACAGGAACCACATGTGGACTGATAGAGATTCATGACAGCTGCTCCGAGGACTCTCACTACAACGTAAACAAGACCTTGCTGCCATGGCAACATACAGCAGATGTAAAGTATTTGATGGCCTATATATGTATATAATCCTCATGAGGCAGAAGTGTGGTCTGTGTAACAGGATGATCTTTGTCTCAGACTTCTGCAAACAAAAGGGATGTTAGAGATCCAGAGGAAGTGACAGCCGGATGACAAGTGATAACTGAACAGTGTGACGCCACCTGAACAATGTTAAAGAACTTAAATACATTATTTGTGCTCATTCTGCCCTTAACCCTGATCTTTGGCCTTTAATTCAGTTTTATGTTTTTAAACTTTAGATGATTATTGTGTTTGGAGAAATAGGCAGTGATTAAAAATTACAGATTACATTGGTGCTGTGGCTATGGTATAATTTTGAATAGTAAAATAAGAAATGCATAAATGTTTAATTTTGATGTTGTAATGTAACAGTCCTTCAGTGTTTTTTTCCACGTCAAATTGAGATCATATCAAATAGGAGTTGTAGCAGCTATCAGTCTGTCTATATAGCACATCCAAAATGCTCTGTTTCAACTGGATGATGAAACAATGATGACGCAAGTAAGAGTGAAACTTGAAAATTTAGAATATCCTTCAAAAGTCTATTGAATTCCGCAATTTAACCTATAATTTAAACTAACATAAGCAGACTCATCACATGCAAAGTGCAAGCCTTTATTCTGGTTCTAGCCAGCTCGAGTCCTGACTAGAACCAGGACGAATGATCACATCAGTCCAGTTCTCAGATCCCTGCACTGGGTTCTTGTGGCTCAGAGAATAGATTTTGAAACAGCTCTGCTTGTTACAAGTCTCTCCATGGCCTCGCACCAAAGCTACATCCGTGACATGTAAGTCCCATATGAACCGGCCCGGACTCTGAGGAGCACAGGGACTGGACTCCTGTTAGTGCCCAGAGTCAGATCTAAACATGGGGAGGCTGCTTTTCAGATTCATGCTGCTAAAATCGTGAACAGTCTTCCTAACAATGTGAGACAGACTTCTTCAATGTTCAAATCCAGGTTAAAACATTTCTGTTTAGCTGTGCATACAACTGAGGGATTTTATCTTCCCTCTTTTTGATGAACTGTGATTATTCGTGATTTTATTGCCTTGTGAGTTTTACTGTAATCTAACTATAATACGTCCAATGTAATCTGTTACTCTACTACACTCTACCAGCTGCTTTAATGATTACAAAATATCAGTTAATTCCACAAAACCTCGCTCAGGACTATTTGGAGCCCATCGTGTTTCCAAAGGTACTGTGGGGTTCTGCGAGAGGGAGAGTCTGTGTGTGGATAATTCCTGATATTACTGTGGATGAAGCTACAATCACCGCCAGGTCAGAAAACAATGGTTAGAATGTGGAAGAAGACGTGTCCTTTTCCCATCAGTGACAGCGCTGATAGGGCGGTCACTCAGCAGAGGCCTTCCTGTGAGCGTCTGGGAGCTTCCTCACACGGGTCACACCCCACCTCCCACAGTGACCCCATGTGCAGTGTGAGCGAGGACACATGTTTCCAGTCTGCAGATGTTTGTGAGGTCCCCCTCTTTAAACAGGAAATGGCCCAAATCTGGTCACAGCGAGGTCTTCCGGTCTCTGATGCCATTGGAGTGATCACAACCACGGGACAAAGGGATGTTCTCCAGGAGATTTTCCAGCATCGTGGACCAGGAATAACAGTGACATTTTGTATCGAGATGCCATGTTGTAAGAATAGCCAGGTCATTTCACTATCTGGCAATTAGCTCCACCAAGTATAAAACCATACAAAGAAAAAAAGAAAAAAAAGGATATAAAACAGATCAAAACCATAAATACCATGAATAGAAATAAAAACACAGAGGACCACACAAGTCATGTAGAGTTAAAGCCAAAAAATAAAAGTGGGTCTAGATCCATGCACACCAATATCGGGAGCATCTGACAAAAACATGTGACTCCGCCCCTTCTGTCTTAAAGCTCCTGTCCCCAGTAATAGAATGATGTCATCGAATCACTATGACATCATGCTTGAAACAAAAGTACTGCCGATAAATGTGTTTTGGCAATTTCTCCAGTGAAGGTGAGAGTGGGGTTTGATTCCCCACGAGACCTACTCCCATGGATGTCTGCTGTTGTTGTGTCCCTGGGCAAGACACTTAACCTCCACTCTACGTATACCCCTGACCCAGAAATGGATTAAGGGGATGAAAATGGATGGATGGAGGGACGGAATTTCACCGGTGAAATCCATGGCTGTGATTGTCGCTGTTCTGTCGAGTTGTGCCGCCTCAGCTGTTATTCAAAAACTCTTACTCTTAAAACCCACAACACGGAACCCTCAACATCTCGCCTCAAATTGCATTAAAAGTGACATTCGTGTCTTAATTCGTTCATATTTTAACTTTTAAAGCAATTCACGGACTACGTGTCCGCCATCTTGGTTTGCTTCGGCTGTCGTGAGACGCGCATGCGTTTGCATTACATCATTAACAGCTGAGGCGGCACAACTCGAGAGAACACCGGCTCCTGCTTATTGTTGTATTTTGTCCCTCTGGTGGTAGAATAGGGAGTTACAGAGGAAAAGCTTTGTCACGTCTTTGCTACCTAAGATATTTGTTCACATTCTAAAATATAAACTAACAAAGTAAGTAGTCTCATTATCATTTACACTGCAATAAATGATAACATATAGATAATAATTGCTTGAGTATCTTTTTATCTTAATTTTAGTACATTCTGGGACAAGTTTCATTTTAAGAACTGTTGCTTTATTCTCTCATTCCAAGGGAGACATTTATTGTATTCTTTTGAAACAAGATAATGTTGCTTGTCCCATTGACAAATCTCGTTGCAGTGAAAATGTGCTCAAATTAAGATATATTAAGCAAAACTTATTTTTCATTTTTTTTTGCAGTATAAGGGCCCATATATGGTAAAGTAGATTACCGTTATGTCAATGTGGAATACTCTGAGGCCAAAGGACAAACGTTTACATGGACATAATCAGGTTTCTGATAATGCAAGCTCACAGGCCCAGTTGTGTATTCAAGTGCATTAAAAGTAATCCAAATGTACTAAACATACTTGTATTCAGAATCAGAATCAGAATCAGAATAATTTTCATCGCCACGTAAGTAACAAACAAAGTTTCAACCTGGAGAGACTACAAGAGACGAGATGCGTTTTAGGAGTTTTTATGTGTATGAGAGATTTTATGGATTGAGTTTGTTTATTTGTTTGGCGCATAGGCCCCGGCTGTGGCCGTGCTCTGAGGGGATCTGCGCCTGGGTGCAGATCATGATCCCCAAAAAGAGAGCTTGGCAGCGATGAGTTTACCGTGACAGTTCCGAGTCCGAGCGCGAGCTCGGCTCTAGCGCTAAGGCGTTGGCACGCGCACGAGCTCGGCTTGAGTACGCGGCATAATGTTCGTGCGCGAGCTCGGCTCTAGCGCTAAGGCGTTGGCACGCGCACGAGCTCGGCTCGAGTACGCGGCTCGAGTACGCGGCATAATGTCCATGCGCGAGCTCGGCTCTAGCGCTAAGGCGTTGGCACGCGCACGAGCTCGGCTCAAATGCGCGGCATGATGTCCGTGCGCGAGCTCGGCTCTAGCGCTAAGGCGTTGGCATGCGCACGAGCTCGGCTCAAATGCGCGGCATGATGTCCGTGCGCGAGCTCGGCTCTAGCGCTAAGGCGTTGGCACGCGCACAAGCTCGGCTTGAGTACGCGGCATAATGTCCATGCGCGAGCTCGGCTCTAGCGCTAAGGCGTTGGCACGCGCACGAGCTCGGCTCAAGTACGCGGAATAATGTCAGTGCGCGAGCTCGGCTCTAGCGCTAAGGCGTTGGCACGCGCACGAGCTCGGCTCGAGTACGCGGCATAATGTCCGAGCGCGAGCTCGGCTCTAGCGCTATGGCGTCGGCGCACGCACGAGCTCGGCTCGAATGCGCGGCAAGCTGGAATGAGAGGTTGCCACCACCAGGAGATGTATACGTACTTAGAGTGAGGAGAGGGAGCGCTGAGCTGCCAGGATGGATGCAGAGTCTGGTCTGATGTATGATGTGAAGGCGGTGGAGGACCAGCAACCCAGCTACTGGAGAGATGTCTGAGGGAGCCCCAGGGCGGCGGCCCGTGTGGCTGCTCCTATCCGAAAGGAGTGGCCGGTGTAGAGAAGGGGAGAGAGGTTACATGCAGAGAGAACAGATTTGAGTTGGGTTCTGAACCATTGTGATGTCATGAGCTGATTGTCCGGGGTGAGAAACAACGGCATGTTAAAGTCTCCTCTCTGAGAGCGTAATCGGGAGTACCTGATCATTGCCTTGAATGGGCATAGAGAAGTGTCTGAACGGGCAATGATGATGTTACAGGCCCCCTTTTGTTTGGAATGTTTGAGGTGCAGATTGTAGTGATCCGGGTAGAAGAACAAGTCGGAGAACTCTACTGTATGTCGCGGGATGGATTGAAGGTAGTGTGTGAGGGTGCGAATTCGCTGATGCGCAAGAGACCATAGAAGGCGAGGAGGAACACGCAAGTAAGAAGGGAGGTCAGGTAAGTGGAGAAGTGGCCGGAACGCAGCTTGGAGCAGAGCTGCTGTAGTATGGGTAGCGTGATGGGTAGCCTGCGGTCAGAGGAGTGCGGGGAGCAATTGAAGATGCCTTTTAAGAGGAGTTTGATTGATGGCTCCGTGAATAGGGACGAGAAGGAGGGATTGTGGCAGCGGGCCGTGAATTGAATACCGGAGAGGAGAACACGAATGTACGAGATTTTAAAACGAAGAATGTCTTTACAATGTACTATAAAAGCGCAGGCATTATGAACGGAGATGG